TTCAGAGTGGTGAGCTATTAATCTGTAACAAAAGTATCTTTCATCCATAAAGTTGTAACTGAGCTCTGTCTCTACATCACAGTAACAACTTCATGTCCATTGACTGCTTGGAGGGTAACAAGTGTTTGGAAGGGAGATGAGAGGTGTGCTGCAGCTCTGTTTTTCCACCAGTGTTTTTTGAGGGCGTGTCGGACTAGTCACTCAGCAGGCATTATCACACGTATTTTCATTGTGATGTCACAAGAAAGGGAAGTAAAGGCTGGCCTACAAACTAGTTGTTTTCATGCAGTTCAGAGCAGTGTTTTCTGTGGGAGATGGGAACTCCCTTTGGGGTGGACTTTGGGCTTTTTCACTTTGCAAACCTAGTACATGCACAAAAAAGATATATAACTCAATAAAGGAGAGGGAAAAAGACAAAAACCATAATACCACCTCTTTAAAATGACTAATATGAATTAAATCAACAAAAGTGCACTTCATGACATACCTTTGTGTCTCCTGTCATCTTTGAAACCCAAGGTTGTTAATCCAGGCAGCAGCTTATTTGACAGAGAACTCAGGTCCACTTTATGAGTCTCCTCTTCTGCAAAAAATAAAGAACGAAGATGATTTTAGATATCACTTATTATACTAATGTAGTGCAGATCTTGAGTGAACATAGGTTTTGAAAAGATGTTTCAAAGACAACACAGTGGTAACAAACCTTCTGCATCCGGATCAAGCTGATTTACAACAGTATATAGAAGAGAATTGTCTGGCTCTTTGCGCAAGTAGCCCATCTGAAACCACAGAACAGAGAAAATGGAAGTCTTATTACCACTTTGTCATTTTATGTCAAAAAACACAGCAACAGCAGGCAGAAACATTGTATATGAATATAAATGTATTCAAAATGAGCACAATAAACTGGGAAAACCTTGGAGTTGGGCATGTATCTGTTGATTCGATCTCGAGCTTCATCTGCAGAATGCTCAACGAGTGCCAGGACATGCTCCTCTGCTGTGCTGTCAGTCAAGCTGCAAGCATTTCCCTCTGGTTCATACAAGTAACTGAAATAACAGAAGTGACCGGATCATTATACTGACAGGGTGCTGAATCACATTACATCAAACACTAAGGACTTCCCTACTAGCCTTTCAGACTACATTTCATTCCTTAAATGTATACAAAATGTCACATTTAATCTAGACATCACATATAATTAATACCTGATGACTTCCTTCATGTCTTTGACTGGTTGTTTCTTGGACTTCTTGGCTGATTCCACTGGGATAGGGATTATCTCTGGAGGAGGTAAATCAGCTGCAAGGTCTTCATCTCCCAAAATGGCTGCCTGCTGGGTGTAATCCATGTCCTGCATGAAAGACATGCTGCGCTTCAGAGCCAACAGCCGTTCCTGTACAAAGGGCCGGGAAAAAAAGGGGCAACACTTAACTGGCAATGTATAGATAAGAGCGGAAATGGAATAGAAAGGGACAGCAGAACGTTGTTATTGATTACAGTGTTGTTCTAAATCCCTTGGTCAACTGACATTAACGACAGACTTGTCTTTGTTTGGGATACTGCATCCAAATTAGTTTTATTTGTATGTCGGGTTCATACCGCTCAGCTGCTAGAAATGAGAAAGCGTCAGTGCTTTTAATAAATTCCATTACTCAGTGTAAATGGAGCAGACATCATTACTGCAGTCTGTCTGCTCGTAATCTCAAACTTACTGAAATTCACAAATTAAAACTAAAGTGTAAAATTTTTGGAATATGTGTCAGGGTAGATTTTCTCTTATAAGGGTCAACACAAAGCAAATTGTCCATTGTTTATATGTTTACATAGTACACTGACAATTTGATATTTTCCATGTAAGTATTTAAGCTGAAGTCAAAATACCTATCTGTAATAATAGGTTACCTGTAAAATGATATGATCAAAAGCTGAAACAATGGCAAGTGAAGCACTAACAGAACTGGCTCAGTACAAAAACTTTTAAATGAAATTAAACCACGAGACAGCCAACATGGTCAAAGTTGGTCTAAAATCGATAAGATGGATGGGTTACAAAACAAAGACATAGCATAAAAAATGACTTCATTACCTTGCTCATCATCTTGAATCCTGTATGAAGCAGTTTCTTGGCAGCCTTGTAATAGACAGTCTCTGGTCGGTTGTACACCATGGCATTGTCGCACATCAGCTTAAAGTCCGCCTTAAGCCCAAAAAGTGTTCAAACAGGTGTGAGGGTCTTACACTTTATAATACTCCCAAAAGAAATACATATTCACCATCACAACAAAGGTATCCTCACCTTAAATTCTGTAACTGTGTTGTAGTCATTATTTAAAATCTTGTCTTTCATGGTGCTGAAGTCCATCGGATGTTTGATAATCATTGAGTAACCAGGAGCAATCGCATCCGTTACCGGAAATGAGAAAAATCCATGGGGGTCTTTCCTGGAAGACAAGTGATGCACCATTAGTGTTTTTCAGTGCAGCACCAACATTTACATTTGTTCAGACTGGTCTTTCTGAGTGCAAGTGTTCCCTTTCCATCAGGCCGTCATCTGTCAGGTCAATATAATCACTATGAATGGATCTTGCTTGTGCTGTGGTTTGATGAACTAGACCACATCATACATGTTACGTGGCCTGATTTAAGATTGGTCAGATGTTGTGTTGATAGCAATCTATGGCTAATACATCTGCAAAGTCACACACAACTTCTCTGCCACAACAGGACTCACTCTATGTATGATAAAAGCTCATGTCCCAGCTCCACTTACAATAATAAATGCCTACAACAGTTAAGAGGCAGAAATGTTTATTTCATCCTACAATATTTAGCATGTAGGTGTTGCATGGAGCAAATAACAAATGCAAATTGTATGCAAAGGTGACATTTTGACTTGTGGGTGGTGTAAAAAAGAAAGCTCAGAATGCATCCAAAGTAGAAAGGTTTTATCTTGTGGGGAGTGTAACTGTGTTTAAATTAAATTTCATGGCAATATGCCATCAGTGATTAAATAACCCTTGGTCTTTTGGACTATTTAAAGCATCGACTGCAATCTCGTTAAATGTCTTCAGGAGCAGCACTGCAATAATAAAAGGACAGAAGGCTGACATTACGGGGGAAGCAGCACTTAGCATCCCTCTTTCTCACCTCTGCAACTGCCTCAAAAAGTGCTCCAATAGTTGTTGACGAGGAGTGCACTCACTCTCTGCATTGGGCATAAAAAAATACAAATATTAATTTACACATTTGTGATTGAATAACTGCTAAAATAAAATGTAACATTTGTTTGCCAAAAAAGTTTGACGTGTTCCTCATAAACAGGTTACCTTGTTGTGTCCTGCATGATCTGACTGGTCTATCTCCTTGCTGTTCTACTTCCACCTTCACGTTGGGGTGAAACTCGTCCACTTCAGGCTCCATCTCAAACTCTCTCTCTCGCTCTTTCTTCTTCTTCTTCTCTTCCGGCTGATGAGATTAAATCATGACGTGAGTGACTGACATTTACATTTCTTCATTTAGCTGACGCTTTTATCCAAAGCGACTTACAATTGCTATACATGTCAGAGGTCGCACACCTCTGGAGCAACTGGGGGTTAAGTGTCTTGCTCAGGGACACAATGGTGGATGGGTCACAATGGGGGATTGAACCCGAGTCTCTCACACCAAAGGCGCCATCATCAACCCTTGCCAGCAAAATCATTAAGAATTTGTTGGTCATATCCTCAGGATTAAATTTACTCACCTCTAATCCAATAGTTATACTTTTGGGCAATGTGAAAGGTTCAACAGGCACACCAGCACTGGTAGCAGCTGTAGCAGCTGCCATCTCTGATTCATTCTGCTCTCGCTCTCTCTTCTTCCTCTTTTCCTCCTGTATGATGGCATGAAAGGATGATGAATTAATTTTTCATTTATAGTGGCAAAAACACAGATGCCATAAAGTAGAATGTTGTTTTGTAAACGAACCTTCCTCCGTCTTCTGTCCTCATCATCCACATATTTGTCTTTATCCTTTTCAGACTTTTTCTTCTTCTTCTTCTTCTTCTCTTTGTGCCGTTCTCGTTCGTGGTCTGATCTGTCATCGTAGTAGCTGGAGTCATGGCCCGAACCAGAGAGCTCTGTCACCTCACTTCCTCCAACTTTGAGCACAAGCTTCAGGGGCTTCTCGAGAGCCTTGTCCTCATAGTCTATAACCACAACAATCAAGAAATCAGGATAACGGAGACAGAAATCATTGTTCAAGGTGAAAAGCTGTAGTAGGAATAGCTGAGGATGTGCAATAACGTTGGCTTTAGTATGTGGGAATGCTGTAAGTGTTGTCTGATATTACTTACAATAAATAGGAGTCGATGTAGCTTCTCTGTCTTAAAAATATTTAAGACAGAGAAGCTGATATTATATTGAGTGAGTTGTATTGTTTTCTCCTGTTTTTTTAAGAGGTAATTCTTTAATTGGTGTTTTTGCTTAATCGGTTACGTAATTACACAGCAAAGAAATTTCGAAATTATAAAACAAAACAGATATAACTAACTTGCAGTATTACCTATAATATAACGTACTATCACAACCACAAAACAAAAACACAATCAAGAAATATGTAATATATTATAACAAACGGATTAAATCAGGATTGTAGCAGAACATTATACCAACATTATAGCAAGTAGAACAGATGAATGTGCTTCGTATTGGTAGATTAGGGTAATTCTTTACAATAAAAAAACGATCAAATCCGCTGCTAAGCTAGCTAACGTATAGGCAGCTGGAACAAAAGAGCCGCGGTAAGTCATATTAAAATGTGCTCTCAGTCACCATCAACTGTTCTCCACTCCGGCTTATGTTTCTTGTGTTTCTTCCCCATATATCCGTACTCCGAAGTCTTTTGTTTATTCCAATAATGTTTCCAGTGGTCGCTAGCGTTACTGTGGTTGTAACAAATCTTTGCAACAACCAGGCTAGCGGCAGGCGGATGTGAAACCCCAAAACAAATGATGTATTTCCGGTGTAAGAAATCAGCGCGCTGAATTCGAGTCTGTCTCTGTCAGCTTTCTGACAGCACAGCGGACCGTCTATAGATTCTTGGCTACCAGGGCTTTGGTTGATGCAAGTAATCAGGATTGATAACGTACATGGTGTAAGGTATGGTTTCAGATGTGTCGATGTAACGTTAGCAAACTGCTTACTTTCACTGAATGTTAGCCAGATGTGCTAGCTAGCTGCAACATCGCCAAGTTTCTTAGCTAACAAAATTGGAAAAGTGCCGTCTGGTTAAGCAAACGTATCCGACCGAACATAATCTAAGTTAACTACTAAATGTGAGGAATGCTGTTTTTAAAGCTTTGAATGTTGATCTGATGTCCACAGTTTTTGCAGGAATGGAGGGCGACAGAATGGAGGTGGGAAACCAGAAACTAAACATCCATGTGGAGGTCCATGTGAAATCTCACAGGTGGGTTCGTTGAGTAGTTCAAAGCATGCCAGTGTGAGTCCAGGTCAAACCACATATTCTACCACGAACTCAGAAAACACACACATGCTCAAACACAGATTAACTGACCAAAAACCTCAAGGGAGTGACATTTTACTGTTGTATTATACAGTGAATATAATACATTAGGAAAGTGTATAAAGAGTCTACTCTATTCAAAATACAAACCAATATTCATATTGGTATTGATATCGTATCAGCTATCACAAGGGGAAAATCATCAGTTATCATCCTAATGATAAAGTTATTTAATTTCCTTTCTGTGTACTTTTGTCTTTATTTCACATCCTTGTTAATATTTCAGCACAGCCAAACTGTCTGAGGTGAGGATGCATGTTCTGGCTCTACTGAATCGCCACAGCATGCTGTTTGGAAACTACAGATGGAAAGAGTTTGATGAAGACTTCCTGCAGAAACATGTGGAATCTGTGGCTCTAGTTGATCTCGAGGAAATGGTGAAACAGGTCTGTTATTTGTAATATTTTCAAACCTCTATATCATTGGTGGGGGGGTTTCCCCATAAAGAAGTAATGATTTGCGGTTGTTTATTTATTCTTTTTTATTAAACTTTTTCCCCACTCAGCCCCTTGATTTGAAGAGTTGCACCATTTCCGTTCACATCTTCACTCTGAATGAGGATGGACCCAGCACGCTTAGCTTGGAGGAGGATGAGGAGCTTTCAGCAGCCAATCACTGGTTGCTGCCAGCAGGTGACACTGGACATTGTGGCACTTTGAATAGAACATCAAGTTGAAAAAGTCTTGCTTTCTTAGTTTGATTTATTTCCAGTTGAAGTCCAACCAACCAGGCAAAACTTAACACAGGAAGCGATCATTCTACAGTCTTAACCCAGCGGTTATCATTTAGGCATGCAATATATTACTCAGTGTCACAGTGATACTCACCCCAGAATGTCTTTTGAGTATGAAACACACTCCCTGTGGGCTTCAAAGGTGATTGTAAATGGTTTCATAGAGAAGAGATGCTGTGCTCAGTATGTTACAAACTGTCATATTTTCACCAGAATATGGCTAAATACACAGCTACTCTCTTTGTCACCATGCATGACCTTGTCGAGACCACAAGGGGGCGCCTGTGGTTAAAAATTTGATAATATATTTGGAATATATTAAGAATATTAATTATAACCCAACTGATAATTGGCTCTTTGAGGCCAATACTGATTTTGACTTGATTTTTTTTAAGTTGAAAAAAATCTGAACAATATTCCAGCCAATGGTAGGTTCTTAATACCTAAACACATAACAGAAACAATCCAGAGACACTCTATTTCAAAGTATGAATAAGTATTTCAAAATCAAAAGAGAAAACAGGGCAGGGCCATGCCTTAATGTAAAGGTATCTATTAGCATGGTGAGCCATGTGTCACTTGAAAGACCCTCTCTTCCCTGTGGAAGATGTTATTGCCTCCTAACATTCATGAAATGACGGGACATCTTTTTGTTTTTAACAGCTGAATTCCATGGGATTTGGGAGAGTCTAGTGTATGAGAGTGGAGTCAAAACCCAGGTAAAAAATATAGTTGCAGTTAGGAGATCATTGCATAACTTTTTCCATGCTGCTAAACTTAACATTGTTTTAATTTTCCTCCAGCTCCTGGATTATGTTACAACGACAATTTACTTCTCAGACAAAAACGTTGACAGCAACCTGATATCATGGAACCGTGTTGTGCTGCTTCACGGTAAATAACTAATGAGGAATCGCTTTAATTTTTTTTGGTTGATGTTGTGTCAGAGATTAATTGCCTAAACTAACTGATTTATTACTTTGTGTATGCCCACATTCAGGACCTCCGGGCACAGGGAAGACATCACTGTGCAAAGCTCTTGCCCAGAAGCTGTCAATCAGACTGTCAAGTCGGTGAGACAATCCTCATTCTAGTGAAACTGCTTCAGCAGTAACTACACCTGCTCTTTTCATTTGAAACTACACTCCTCTCCCTGCAGGTATTCTTATGGGCAATTTGTCGAGATAAACAGCCACAGCTTGTTCTCAAAGTGGTTCTCAGAGGTACACCTGGCTCTTTTTTTTATGTTAAAATGTTCAGTTGGAGGCTGAAATGGATATTATTTTGGTCTCTAATCATGCCTCTTTGTTACAGAGCGGTAAGCTGGTCACGAAGATGTTTCAAAAGATCCAACAACTGATTGATGACAAAGATGCTCTTGTTTTTGTTCTGATTGATGAGGTAAAAAAGCAGCTTCTTTGAAACTAAATTGATATTGGAATTGGTCTTATCTTGCCCCCTGAAATTCATTCATTGAGTACATTCCCTCATTGATGTGCTTGATGATATAATACATAAAGCAGGACTTTTTTAGGACTTTGTCTGTTGTAATTAAGACTGTTCCTTTTGTGCACCTGTTTTATGGTGTGCAGGTGGAGAGTCTGACAGCAGCTAGGAATGCCTGCCAGGCGGGAACAGAGCCCTCCGATGCCATCCGAGTGGTCAACTCTGTTCTAACTCAGCTGGACCAGATCAAACGGTCAGGAAGCACTGCTTTAAAACCTATCTCTTATAGCATTAAGACACCAGAAGCCTGAGTTTTGCATTCTTACAGTCACTCTTAAATAGTTTTCACTGGAAAATCCTTTCATCAGACTTTTATTTTGTCATATTTACACAAATTTGTTTCGCTTTGACTTCGGCTTTCATATTTCAGACATTCCAATGTTGTGATCCTGACGACCTCCAACGTGACAGAAAAGATAGACTTGGCGTTTGTGGACAGAGCTGACATCAAGCAGTACATCGGACCTCCATCTGAGAAGGGCATCTACAACATCTACCTCTCCTGCCTGGAGGAGCTGATGAAGGTGACAGAACAGAATACTACACAAGTCTTCCATGTCCAAACTTTGGTGCTTACTTTGTGGGTATGATGATTGTATGGAAAGCAAGCCTGAAGTAAACTAGCTTACAATGTTTACTGTCCTGTCAGATACAGTAATGTTGCCACTTTTATTAACCAGTAATGTGAGCTAAGCTAATTGTTCAGAGCAGTGGCAGCAACCTGGATGTAATGTAGGCTAACCTCAACAGGATAAAACGTGTCAGCATATTTGTTATTTACATGACATGTCCCCGTCACTTTTTGAAAGCATTTGTTAAAAATGCTTTGAAAAATAGCTTGCAACATGAAATGGTAAAGAACCAATGAAAGTGCTTTGAGAAAGGTTTATTTGCACTTGTTTATTTTTTAAGCAAGAATAAACAAGCTACTGATTATAAAAAGACCTCAAAATGTGCAGCACCAGTCAGTAACTTTAACAACTTCATGTCACAGTTTATTTTACGTTCTCTCCCTCTGAACATGACAAAAGAGGGAAGACTAAATCATGCCTGCATGTGTGCTAATTCAGCAGGGATGATATTATATGAGAATAGTTGATCTACAGGAGAAACATATGTCACACAGAATGACCAAGAGCTGCACTGTATTAGATTCTGTAATACTTATAGATTTTGAATTGTCAACTGCCACCTGAAGTTTCCCTTTACATAAATAAAAACATTTCCATCATAAATTGATGTAGGAAAGGCAGAACAGAGAATGTCCCCTTAATGCAGGAAATTAAGTGTTTTATGCTCAAAATGTTCTGGGGGAGGACCCCCCCAATTCATGTTGTTTTAATGGTCCCAAAGCCCACATCCTCAAATAGCTCGTTTTGTCCACAACCCAAAGATATTCAGTTTACTATCATAAAAAACTATTCGCAGTTAAGAAGCTGGAATTAGAGATTTTTTAAAAATTACTCAAACCAATTATCAAATTAGTTGGCAACTGATTTTAATAGTTGACAACTAATCCATTCATTTTTGCATCTCTACTTCATAAGCAGCAACAGTACAAAAATCATTTGAATGTCCCGTATGTCAGCACTTCATGATGTGTTTATATGTGTAGTGCCAGGTCATCTACCCCCGGCAGCAGCTGTTTACCATGTTTGAGCTCGAGACGATGGGCTTTGCAGAGAGTGAGGTGTCCGAACATAGTCTGAGCCTGAGGAACATTGCTCTGTGAGTACAGCCTCCCATAATGCAATAGCACCTAAATGACAACGCCTCTGTGCTCTCATCCTAAATTCAATTGCCAGTGAGAACTGAAACAGCCAGAGGCTAATGCATTTGTTTTTCTTTTTGTTTCCAGAAAAAGCAAAGGTTTGAGTGGAAGAGCACTCAGAAAGTTACCATTTCTAGCCCATGCTCTGTTTGTAAAGGTAAGCATTTCATTTTGTTCTACATAGAGAGTCGGGGGGGAGGCGATGAGTCAAATTGTTTTTTAATGTAGTTTATTTGCCTGCAGACACCGACAGTGACTCTTGAGAGGTTTCTGGATGCTATGGACCAAGCGGTGGATAAACAGAGGGAGGAAAAGGATAATCTGGTCAACAGTGTCTGAACTAATTATAATACCCAAAGGCTGACACGTGATTGTTCATGAGCTCTCAATCCCATGCCTTGTTTGTTGGTAGTTTGGATAACTACAGCACTTACATCTTTTAATAAAGCTTAATCAATTCATCTGGCAGCATATGTTCAATACATTTGCAAGTTTTAACGAATGCTATCTATAACTTTATATGTCTTTATTCTGGTGGTGCTACTACCTTAAAAGACCAAATTAATGTCGGTTTCAATATAGGCAGTCTGGTTTAAGATGGGGTACCCAATGCTTGAATTTTTTGTTATATTACCCAAGTGTACTCTGTTGTTAGTTTAAACTGATATTTTTATGTAACATGCAGCTTTAACCATAACTTCATTTTGTTCCCATGTTAAAGGGATAGTTCAGATTTCTATTGCCATAAATTATTTGTATTAGTATTGATATGACTTCAGACACATTAGCTCAATCTGCGGATTTCGTTGGATATGTCCCATTGAAATGGCAGCTTGTTGGACAGACATTAAAACCCTTCTTTAGGCCAGAGGCCTCAGTGGACAATGAAGCATCAGAAACGAAGGAATGATGAAGCAATTAATTTTTTGACTGCTGTGTTGGGATTTTAAGTGTTTTTGTTAACAGTTTCCATTCTCTGCTGTTCATTTCTGTCATACAAGTTGCCAACTCACAGAGATACTTCCATCCACAGGATCTGTAGAATATGATGTTCATGTACAAATTTTATGTTGAAAAATGTGAACTGTCCTTTTAAACATGCAGGATCCTTTATACAATGCGTTTATTTAAAAACAAAATGGATATTCCTCTTAGACCATGAGTTAAACATGCTCTGTTATATTTGTCAGGTCTGTATTTATGCTAACATCAACTCCTCTTTAAGCTCTCAGCGCTCATATGTTATTTACAACTTTATTTTGTATATAAAATTGTAATAAACTAATTGTTTATGCTCACGTGTGTTGTTTGAAATGCTGCAGTGGAAGTAGATTTTAACAAAGCCTTTGGGCCACCACTTGGTGGCGTACAGAAGCTGTCACACAGTTTTACACATGGAAAGACTGATTTTATATAGTGTATTTTATGAGATACATGATAATCACAGCAAGGGCAGTAAGTGAAAATGCCCACAGCAATAAAACCAGATTGCAGTTGACCGTGACCGTGCCGAATGCAAGTTATCTAAATAACTTTGCTGAGTAAAACCAGAATCCCCCCCCCCCCAATATAAAATGTACGTTTGTACATTAAAAGAGCTGTTCCAGGTTTCACTAAGTGCAACAATGCATCGAACACAGCAGTTCATTATGAGACATGCCCGTGCATGGGGACTCAAAGTGGTTGCCACCAATTTGACTTAAAAACAAAACTGTTGAAAGGTGCCTGAGTTTTGAAATGTGTCAGTCATACGCACAGTTTACATGGACAGATCAGAGGCTCCATTGTTCGTATGAACATGTTTTGCATTCTGTGAATGCTCTGCTGCTTTGCATGTCAGCTGCCGGGTTCAGACAATGTGCCCTTTGTTTGTTGTTGGGCTACAGCTTTTTCACTCCACTTCAAAGGTGGATTCTGTAGGCTGTTCCTGAATGTAAAAAGGAAAGCAAACATTGAGTTCATCTCTATTCACACACTTCATTCCTGCTCAGTCTTATCACTGTCAGCTTTTACAACGACCTTTCTTGGATGTTTCATTAAGCACATTTCATATGCAATTTTGGTGGATTTGATTGACTGCCTAACGTCTGTTTCCAAGATCAAGCAAAAGATTTATATTCTCTTTACACTGTAATAAGATGTTTCTTAAGTATTGGGTTTTACAAGAACGCCAGAATGGATTTCCCCCAGCACATAAAGCCCTCGTTTCATTAAGAAATCACAAATGTTTGTGTGAATGATTCCAGTAATGCCACAGTGTCTTTTTACACCTAATTGTTTGGCATCCACTGTTTTCATTCACCAGTGAAGTTTTTATGTGAGATGAACCGCGTGAGGAAGCTGTGCTTTTCTCTAATCTGATCAATGATCACAAAGTGGAGAGAAAAAAAAAGGAACATAGAGAAAGGGAGAGCTGTAGGAACGGGCATGGTAAATAAAACCATAATTGCTCTGTCTGGAGGCCCTTTTCTTTTGACTGTAGTTGGTCCAAAACCAGGCAGCTGTTAAAAGGCAATCAAGACGGAGAAAGCAGAAAAGTCAAAAGCCTTATTGTTACTGGGTTTTATCACTGTTTCAAGCCATTTGAAAATGTCAGAAAACTCCAAACAAAACAAACAGTCATGTTTATCTTCTCAACCGTTGTTCAGGTACATGGCTGAAAGCAATGGAATATCAGTGCATGTGCCAATGGTGATTCACATAAGGAGTGGATTAACTTACACACACACACACTTATAGGCATGTTAAGAAGAAATTGAACGGAGCTGCGCACAAACCATGGGAACACTGCTCGTTTCCCTCGAGAATAAAATCACAGATTGAACTTAAGTTTTAAGGAGGTTATGGCTTACATTAATATGACATTGATGATTTAAAAGTGTGATACCACATTGATTGACTGCACATTTACCAGTATAATGATCCACATCCTCTGTACAAATACATAACTTGAGCTCATAAAGCTCAAGCTTCTCAATTCTTCATCTACATGACAGCCTTTGATAATAAACCAGGATTTATCCAAGTGAACATTGCCCTTAAAAGACAACTTCATCTCTCTCCAGCTGTCTCTCTGTTCCCCATCTTAAGAATCTTGTCAGAAATTGTATGAGCAGTTGTTCTCTATTGTTTGCGTCCCATGTGCATGTGTCATCCACTTAAGTGGGATGTTAGAGGGAGCAAGAGAAAGAGGATGAGGTGAGAGATACCATAACTTCTAAAGCAGCAGAATCCTTTGAGCCATGCAGGCTGCATAAAGAAATGGTGATAATTAGACACGGCAAGTAGGATCAAAGAAAGCTGCCATCAATGAGCTATGCAAATGTCGGCTCATCCTGTCAACCAAAGACAGTGATCTGAGAGTCCTTCGTCTTCGAGAAGTCAAATGGCAGACAAATTGACAGGAAGAGCAATATAGCTGCACTACACATTCATCAAGATACATGGAAGGGAAACTGGGACACTATGATATAGTACCATTCTCAAAGAAAAGATGTTCTCCCAGTAGCACTGATAATGAATATCTCTTATGTTCCTACAGGCAGAACTCTAATGTTTAAAGGATACATATAACAAGGCTGAGTGCATGGACTGTAATTTCTGCAGAGGAGTGGAATATTTACAAAACACTAACATCACATTCAAGTTTTCATGCTAAGCAAAAGGTTGCCTTAGAAAATTATTATTCATAACACTAGGCATGTGTCCTGCGGCCTGGTCCTGCTTTAGTACCCTGCCAAAGGAAACAAACTATAAAACTGCTGAGGAGCTTTTGATGTCTGGTGGGTTGAAGTACAGTATCTTCTCCTTTATATACAAAAGTTTATCTTTAGAATTGGTTGAGCACAAACCTAAATTAAAATAATGGGCAGCCTATCAGTGTGTGGTTAGCACACAGGCTACTTGTAATTTTCATTTGCTAAATAATAATGCTGTTATTAATTGCACCATGTGTATTTATTTTAATTCTGGTTTGGTCATATAGGCCTATGTGCATATACATCTAATGAACTGTGATCTATTAGACTACTTTAGACCTTTACCTTTTGGTGATTGGACTACGCTATTTGATTGAGATAATCTTGTGATAGACATGTAGGCCTACAAACTAATTGGACTAATAATAATAAAATAATGGAATTCATTAACAAAATAATAAAAGTGTTCTCCTCATGAATATAAAATGCTGGTCCTACTTTAAAAACCATGAATGGAGCTGTAAGGAAAATTACTCCAATGGAGGAGCGCTTTTACCTTCAGCGATACACAAGCTGCCAAACCAGTGGTTCAAGTTAAACGCCCACAACCGGAAAGTGAATGAATGTGCTTTTCAAAACAATAGTATCCTACAATAGCAAAAACTAGAAATGAAAACAAAATTAGGCCTAGATGCAGCATGACACATACTTATTGAAATTGTGTACTCTATTACATTTGGTTAAAGTAAAATACATATCTAAAGGATATAAACAATTAGTTGGCCAACACAAAATGTAGGCTTATTGTACATCAACGTTGTAACACTTACCGGCATGCTGATTATAGTTTATCAAATGTGAGGATTTCCTTGGTTTTGGTGTGAACTGAATTGGTGTGAGTTTTCCAGACATCTTCCAGTAATGTGCAGCGGAATTAGGCACTTCTCAGATCTAGGACAACGAACTTAAGAGTTAAAAAAAAAACACTGTAGCACACTCATTGATTTGCAGCTTTTATTTTTATAGCCTACTACTAGGCCTATGCTTGTAATTTTAAAAGTGCAAATAGTTGCAATATTAAAGGCTAAACTTTGGCCTATGTGCAAAATTGTGTTTGGTATTTGTTGTTATTTTAGGCAATTCTTTAATCACTAAGTGAGTTTAAAAAACAATCCATTGACCCAGATTAATCGACATAAATTGACTGTCCCAGTCCTCAAGAAATTAAGAAAATAATGCAGAAATTAAACACTGCAGTTATGCAGTTCTGATTAGATATTGAAAATAAATATACTAACCCTCAGGAATCCTCAACATCAGTAAGGATACTTCTCAGACTGAAGTGGCCACCAGTGAATGGCTATGGGTTTGCCTGTAGCCTACATTTCCGATTTATATTTATCTGCTTATGTCAAGCTATTCCATTTGTTTTGTTGCATAAATATTTTACACATTTCTCCCCACATTTTCATAATGTTTTAGTACTTGATTAAGGTGCCGCACTTTTTTCAACGTTGATGTTTTATTTTGTAGAAGCACCAACCGGAAGTACCGCACCTGTTCTGTTTGTCTTGACACTGGCTCCGAGGTCTCTGCCGTTTTCAAAGCGCTTCCACATTCAGTTGGACTGAAGGGAAGTCTTTAGACAGACAGCGGGTGTGCCTTGTCTCCCTCAGATCATTTCCACAGATTTATCTGGCTTCTGCGCAGACAACTGATGCTTCAATGAACGCGAGATTTAATTACCCGCCTTTGGATGAAGTTGGAGTTTTCTTCTTGCAAAACAAACACAATGTGACCATGTTGAGTCAGTGACTGTTCTTCTTGTCCGATTTCGGAGTAGGCTATACATTTTATTGACCCACGGAAGCGGGACTTAAGAATGGGCAAACTTCAATCAAAACATGGTGAGACATTTTGTCGTTGAAAGCACCGAATGACAAAAGTATTTCGATTGTATTATTCATATAGAATTATACAAAAAAATCTAACGATTGTCTGTTTTGCATCCCTGTTTCTGATGGATCTGAAGCGTGTAAGCGCAGAGAAAACCCTGAAGGTGAGGGTCAACTTAGGTCATTTTGTATAAGATAATGGAGGTTTATAAATGATGACAATCTGATTAACCATATGCTGAGCTCGAGATTTATACCTGCTGATCGGTGTGATTTCCCCACATCACAGGAGACAGTTTTGCTGTGAACGCCTTCCTCCGGAAAGGGATGGAGGAATGTGAGAGGTACAGCGCGACGGACCACAAGCTGAAGAACATGCAGGTATCACGCAGTAATGTGTTTTTACGTAACAATAAGCCCAACAACAAAATGAGCTTATTTTGATCCCCTGGTGTGGATTAATATTAAATGAAGGATATTATGTCTTCCCTTAAATAAGAGTGTGGAAACAAGTTGCTCTGTGTGCAACGTTCATGTTTGTTTAACCGTTTTACATGAACAAAAATCATAATTTATTGCTGCAAGTTGTTTGCATTTGCTGATGGGATGAGTCTGCCAAGCACTTGTCTGGTTGAAGCTGCTAAACCCTCTCCACCTGAAAGATGAGCTGCAGAACGGCTTGACTGAAGGGGAAGCAACCCGTAGGCCTATTTACAAAGTAGGCTATGCGAAGACACGCTGATGTCTTTGCAAAGTTGTAGCTTGTTGTTTCTTTTTTGTGTCATGTCTGGCTCCGCAGCGGTTATTGCCCTGCCAGCGTCATAGGATGGGTTATGACAGCCATGAGCCCCGTGCGTGAAGCCTCTTGGCAAAAGCAGCGACTACGCACGCACAGAGAGAGAGAGAGAGACAGAGACAGAGAGAGAGAGAGGGGATGGAAAGGTAGTCGTTTCTCAGACTGATGGATATAAAGTTTGCTCTTGTGGCTGCTGGCACCATGACTCAGTGCTGTGTCTTTTTTCCTCAATGCCTCCCATTCTAGTGCGTGCTCCCAGTGGGCAGCCCTCTGAGGCATAACATTACATCACTTCAATTAGCGCTTCCTTCTGAGGGGTACAACAGTTCCAGGCTCCCAGGCAGAAACTGCGAGCAGTTCACACAGAGTTACTGACAATCCGTGAGGTGGGTGGTTGTTAATAGTGGGAGAGTTATAGATTATATCAGGGCTATAAACCGCCCACTCGTGGCAAATTAAAGGAGAACTTTACTCTGCTTCGTAGGAGTCTGAGTTCACACTCCTCTGAAGGGAAACCACCAAAGGCATTCGCTTGACACTTATTAGTAGGTGGGTCCCACCCTCTCTTATATCAAAGTCATGTCTCTGATTTATTTTGTGTCATTACTTGGTTACGTTCGCGCCTCCTTCAAAGACCAGAACTACCAGTGTTTAACTTCCTAGCCCCTTACTTTTCCTGCTTCCTTTGAGACTAACCTGTGATTGATTGAAAGGAGGGGGACAAACCAAAATGCAGTCACGTCTGTTAAGGCCTAAACTGGTCCTGACATGTATTGATGGTAAATATTTCAAGTAAATATTGTAAGTGCATTGTAAGTAAAGCTTTTTGTAAGGCAGAAAATAATGTGCTAACTACATTTTACTTGCATTTACTTTACATGTACCATTCTTTTTGCCTCATTCAGGCTATATATTCTACTACAGAGAGCTTTGGAAATTCCTTATACATATGAGAGATCACCAGTAAAACAAAAGAGAAAGTAAAGAAAGTAAAGTCTTTTCTTAAGCATTGCTTTTTGAATTGGGGAAACAAGTAAGTGTAATATGTTACTTTTAACTGAAGTTACATTTCTGCCACACTTTTATCAGTGACAGTGTGCTGGTTGTACCAAAACCCTAGGCATCATGCAAAGTAGAGCTGGAATGATTAATTGACTGAAAACTAGTGGACTTCTGCTTTGATAATTAATTGGTAGATCGTTTCATTCTCTAGTTTCAGCTTCACAACTGTGAGGATTTGATGCTTTTCTTTGTCTAATGTGACATATTTTAAGACTTCATTTAGGCTTTGGGAAATTGTAATATACAATTTCACAATTTTCTGAAAAACAATAATCTAGGAATGTGAAAATAGTTTGCAGATTAACCAATAATGAAAATATTGGTTTGCTGCAGCCCTGTCGCAAAGCATCACATGCCAAATAATCCAGTATCACAAGTTAAACTGATACTATGACGATTTGTTATATAAATTCTCCCTATTGTATCGCAGAGGCAATATGTGACTCCCTGCACGAATATAGTGACAGCTCTATTCATGCTGTTTGAAATTAGCCTATGCCTACATTAATGTAAATGATGGTAGATGACGTCCCTGGGGAAAACCTCCCATGCTGCATAGCTTCCCATATAACAGAATGTCTTTAGCACAGATAAAATGTATCTCTGATGTAAGACAGGAACACCATTTCCTCACTTGATCCCATGTACTATTCATTAATTCTTCACTAGGATCGTTTTACATTGTCACAATTCCAGATAATAACAGTAGATTACGGGTTCTTAGATGTCTGGGGTTTAAACCATGATTATGCAAGCTCAAGTCAAATAGAAAATTACTGTAATTATATCATTTTTAAAGGGAATTTGAAGTGTTCAATTTCTGCCACATTTTCTCCTCCTGAGTGCTTTAACATATGGCTCTCACCAGATAGGATTTTCACCACTTATTCCTGGTTGATGAGCAGCATGGACAGTTAAAATTACTTATGATTTGGTACAAGAGGTGATTGGCCAAATGCGCTGTTTAGCTCTGACCATCCCCCTCCTCAGTGTCAAATGGGGGAGTAGGATTCCTGAACTGTGTGGCTGCGACTTCAAAGCTCAGAGCTGGGAGTTATAAAAGGGCTCTGATAGCAGTGGAGCCTCCGAACCCTCACCCCTCTATCCCCCTGCCCGGTCCTGGGGGAAGGGCTGAGGGATGAGGGGCGGTGTAAACACAGCCTTGCCAAACATAAGTTTCAACTTGTGAATCTCCACAATAAAGTAGTTATTAGCCAACAAATTGTGAATGCTTTGCCACACTTTTGCAAGAATTAGGATGGATGCAAAGGGGATGTCAAGACCTGTATTTTGATATTGCTCCAAGCAATGATTTAGTATTGCAGCTGGCAGGCTGCCCTCAGTATGTAATCCTATAGGCTCCTTTAAGTGTGGTCTGAGTGGACAAAGAGAGCGTGATTCAGCAGGATGACTTGGCTCATCCTGGCTACAAACATCATTTTGACACTTTGTTGCAGGTGTGTGTTCAAGACAAAGCTCACCTGTCAAAGCACCTGGTGCAATGTCGAAATATTACAGGTGAGATCAAAGTGGCAGTCCAATGTTTAGTTGCCCACCCCACCCCCAAAAAATAAGCCTAGTCGGTAGTTACTGAATATATAAAATGCAGAAAAGTCCTAACCCTGTGTTTATCCCAACCTGTGTTCATTAGTTAAAGAGTTATGTGAAGGTTCACTGTGTTTCACCTCTGGAAACATCAACACATCAACAGTCCAGACCCTCACACACACAACCGCAGCTCTTCATTTTGGAGCTTCAAACAGACATGCTTGGATGCCCAAATAATGACAGGCTAATTCAGCCTTTCAGCACCATCTTTTGTCTCAAAACTTCCCACAGACTTGGCCTGTGAAGAGGGAGTGTGTCAACATTTTCAATCCCACAACAAAGGCCTTTATTATTCCTCTTTGAAAGGTTAATAATATCACACTTGAAGTAAAAAAGGCTCAGTTTAGGGATTCAATTGGATGCAATGATGTGCCAAAGCTCTGAGACGCAAATTTGTTTTGACTTACGGGGAGTTACATAGCACTCACTCCTCAATAATAAATTTAGTTCAAGAGCAGAGTTCCCAAGCAGCTCACTAAACTAATTGTAAGCTAATGTTTTTTTAACATTCATTTGGAATCTGTGAATAAGACTTTCCCCTTATATAAAAAATCCTCATTTGGCAAACCTGCTCCAAATGGATGTTATGTTTGGACAATTTTGCCGCTTGGCATTTGGGTATATCTTCTAGTCACCATGCTCATTTTGAGTTAGCAGTATTTGAATTGGATCGGAGGCTGGGATATCTGTGTAATCTTAATGCTGTGGCCCTAAATGACATTTTAGTTTTCAGTACACAGCCACAAGTTTAAAACTGAGATAATTTCTTTTTAGTTTTGAGCTGTGTGTACTGGATAAAGGTCGCGCAACTCCTGAAGAGTACTTGAAGACTTCTTTAAAGAAATATTCCTGCAGCAACATCTCATGACTTTTGAGCCTCTCTCTTTCGACCACAAATGACTTGTCATTGATGCGGCTCTATCAGGGAGCAATACATGGTGGAGAGGAGACAAAAAGGTGTGCTCATATATGTACTGCTTTTGAAGGGACTTAAAGGCATTTCGAGAGTTTGTTTTTTTCCACCTCTTTTTTCTTTTTTTTTTAAAAATTGGCTTCACAAGAAGGCGAGCTGTGAGCCTTCATCTCTGAATGAAAAGCATGTGGCTGGCATCCAGAACAGCGGGGTCTTTCAGCACGGCCCCGGCAGACATCTGTTCCTGGTTTGTACAGCAAAATCCTGGAGCAGGGAGAGGGGCTGTGGTGGAAATAGGGTGGGAGAGGGTGGCGGGGAAGAGGAAAAGGGGAGGAATAGGAGTGGGAGGTTTAAGGGCGGGTTTTTTTTTTTTCATGGGGGAGATGTTTGAGGGGTTTTAAAGGTAGTGGGGGAAGGGGCGTAATGGTGATCCTCATCCGCCTTGTCCACTGCATTGTTTGGGGAGGCACGAGCTGACCATTGATCTCATCTTACCTTCTTTATTAACTTGTGACAGCTGTTAAACATGCAAATCACAACCCTCTCATGCGGCATTTTTTCTGTGTTGGTTACCATTTGTCCAGAACAAACATTCACTTCTCTGTCTGTGTAAACATCATCACCTGGTTGGCTTAAACCCTCATCACAAGTGCGAGACGCTTTTATCCATTCTTTCGTGTTGGAGTGTTTTTTGAGTGTGGATCACCACATGGCTTCGCCTCTGAGTCAGAGGTCGAGTCTCACTCTGTCTGTATGTTTATGAGTGACTGACTCAGTGAGTGGCAAAGAGTGGTTTGTGTGGCCTGTGCCTAATGGAGAAAGACATTAGAACACTGCAGGCAGATTGAAAGTTTATTTTTCAGAGAATATTTATACTGTGTAAAGTCCTTTGAAGCATTTTGCTCACTTTCACCCTAATTCCCATGTGACCTGCACTAATGAAGGGAGGAATCAAAAAGCAATCACACATTAGTTCTCAATCCTTTGGGGCAAACCAGGTGG